CTCTCCCCCGCACACCCACACACACCCACACACACCCACACACACCCACACACATAGACATACATACACACACACACCCACCAGCAATCAGGAAAAAATAAATAAAAAAAAATCCCTTTTTTTATGGTGTTTCTCTATGTTACCGCGCGTTCATTGAACGCGCGTTTCGCATTCAGGTTTTGAACGGGGTGAACGCGCGTTCACTGAACGCGGCTGAACGCTTTTGACACGTTCGCGCAGAAGCCATATAGTGTTGGGTGAAGCAGGTTTGGGGTGTGGGGAGGACTGGGTGGCAGGGGAGGGGTCAACGGCCCTGCAAAAAGAAAAAAACGACCAAGTGATGGCAAAAAAAAAAACGAAGCATCCGTACGCGGCAAAAAAACTGTGGCCACATGCACTCCTTTTTTCGGGGGGGGGGGGGGGGGGGTGTGGGAATCTCCCTAACATGGCTAAGAAGGCTCATGCAGGCTATCTGAAGGGTCCTCGCAAACATGTAGCACAGACTGGCCCACCAAAATCGAGGCAGGCAGTGAATATGAAATAGAGCACGAGCTGGCCGAATATATACGCGAGATTCAAATTCAAGTCTGTGTTTCAGCAGTTATGGGTTGCTCACGTAGCTAGGGCCTCTTGGTCTCTGCAAGTGACTCTTAGGGCTTGGTTGCACTACTCAACAAATGTGCAAAACTAGAATGAATCTTCTGCAGAACATGGAATAATACGTCGTCATATACTTTGTCTTTTGTGCATGTGGTGAGTAGAGGCCCTCAGGGCAACTGCACGTATTGCTAAGAAAAAATAAAAGAAAAAAAAGAAAAACGAGAAATTTTTCTCGTTTTTCTTTTCTTCGGAATACGTGCAGCGACCCTAAGGACCTCTACTCACCACATGCACAAAAGACAAAACATATGGCGGYGTATTATTCCATGTTCTGCAGAAGATTCATTCTAGTTTTGCACATTTGGTGAGTAGTGCAGCCTAGCCCTAAGAGTCACGTGCAGAGACCAACAGACCCTATCTACGTGAGGAACCCGTAACTGCTGAACCACAAACCTGAATTCGAATCTCGGGTATATATTCGGCCAGCTCGTGCTCTATTTCATATTCACTGCCTGCCTCGATTTTGGTGGGGTGGTCTGCACTACATGTCTGCGAGGACCCTTCAGATAGCCTGCATGGACCTTCTAAGCCATGTTAGGGTGATTCCCCCACCCCGCCGCCCCCCCAAAAAAGGAGTGCATGTGTGTGTGTGTGTAAATATCTATGTGTATTGGTGTGCGTGTGCATATGTTTGGGTGGGGGTATTTCGTGTTTTTTTTGTTCACTTCTTTTTTTTAATGTCATGCGTCCCAAGGTGGTGCACGACGCGCGCATGCTGGGAGGGGGTGCGCGTTCAATTTTTTCCTACCCCCTGCCACGTGGTGCGTTTGAACGTGTTTGAACGCTCGCAGGGGGGGATTGAACGCGCGCGTTTGAATGAGAGCGCGCGTTGACGACGTTCAAATGGTTGCACTGGTGTTTTTTTTTTTTTTAATACTTATTTTTTTCATTTTCTATTTTTTAAAAATAACAAAAAACATCAAAATCCAAAAAAAAAAAAACTGGTTGTAGGGAATTTCAAACCCTACAACCCTATATTTTTTATTATTTTTTGGCCTATTAACTTATTTTTTTAAATCTCCGGGTTTCATGCCCGCAGTCAGCCGCGGGGGTCGACTGCCCCGGCCTGGGTCCCGACCGCATGCAGCAAAAAAGCCCACGGTCATGACCGCGGGTGATACATTGGTGCTCCCTCTGTCTTTGTGCTCGAGTGATACATATATATACATATATATATCCTTCCCCTTCAGGAGCTGTAAGTGCTCCCTCTATCTCTATATAAATATCCTACCCTTCAAGCAAGATTGGTTGTGGAGGGAGGTTGATGGTCCTCTCCATGCTGGATTCTGGTTGAAGTTTTGTTGAGGTGTGGTGTATACTGAAATGTTCACAGCTTGTCATGAAACAAGAGATTGCCCTAAGGGGTGGGGCATATGGTGAGTGCTGATGTGGAAGAACATTCCATAGGTAAGCCCTCAAATATAAGTGGGTGCAGTTTTTCTTATTTTCTCTTTCTGACTGCCAACTGTTGTACCTGGGGTTTGAACACGTGCACAAATTTGAGAAACCCAACCGTTGTGGCAGATTGGGTTCCCATGTGGTTTTGGGGACTGTTTGTTTTTGAAGTGTATCCCATGTCAGGCAGCTCGCCCGAAAGGATGTGTTGTAATACTTTGTATGTCCAAACCCCAACCTTGAAGAGTGTGAATAACCGACCAAAAGGCAGAAATAAAAGATGTATCGAATTGCTGCTGTGATTCATTTTGCAGCCAAAACTATTTTGTGTTTTTTCTCCGATGTTTTTCCTTAAAATATCAAAATGAAATTTAACTCCAAATTTTTAATATCTTTTCTTATATTTCTTATGAGCTTAAATACAATACTTTTTTGTTGGACGACACATTACATAGCAACAAAAATGAAAAAAATGTCGAGTTCGTACGGTGGTTATTTCACAGTCACAATAATTTATTTATTTTTTTAATATTTATAAACCACCAGTCCCCCCGCCACAAAACACCCGCACAGGACCGGTAGCACATTTTCATGAGGATTATCGATACCACAATATGAAATTCGACATAATGGCAACAAATGAAAATGTGTGGAACGATGGCCATAATGTTTTCACAGTTCAAGCAAGTTTTTCAAAGTTTTATAATATTTTTCCTGAAATGATCACGACCTAATCTATAGGCCCTTAAATTTTCACGATTTTTAACGCTATCTTCCGAAAGTGAAAAATCACTAAAATTAGGATATTTGTTTTTGTGGCTCACACGTCAAAGAGAGGCAAAAATAGAGTCATCTTGTCAAGCACGATTGTCGACGATATTCGGTCGTCGTATAACGTGTTCACCACGACAACTCCAAAGACCCTAGAACAACGTTTTATTTGGCGGTGACTTTGACTCATCGTGCTCAATATGACGACTACGAACCTTTCGTGTGATAATGCAGTTGCCCTTTGTCATCATAAGGACATTTCATTGTTGATATGAGGAAAACCCTTAGGCCATGACCTTCGGGAGGCAGTGTCCAGAATAGATATCGTCCAGGGCAGCAGCGGTCTATGGAAGTCGTCCTCTGGGCCAGCCGAATGTCGACTTCAATCGCGTAACATCCCCGTACTCGTGAATCTAAACCGGTTGTAGTCTAAGGCAACGACCCTCTGGAAATCTGTATTAATGCTTTGGATGATGAGGACCACGAACATCCGATTATTTAACATTTCCTCATCGCGCTCGCTGTTCAAATGAGCGAGTCGCCGACTAGGGAAACCACGACGGTTTGACCACCACTATTTGATGCGACCAGCGACTCAGGCAGGGATTGTCTAAGGCAGTTTTTGAGGTTTCTCATTATGGGTACAGGGCTATGTAGAGATGTGTTGCGTCTTGGGGAAGACACTATCCTAGCCAGCACCCATCCAAGGCAGCTTCCGTCTAGGCGAGTAGGTAACGTGTCTTGGCCCACACCCATCTTAGGCAGCCGCCATGTAACACTTTCCATGCACTGGTTTGTCTGAGGAACCAACCGAGTAACTTTCTGACGCAGACACCGACTAAGCCAGCCACTGAGTAACCTATCAGACACAGTCCCCTTCTAAGGCAACTAACTTCTAAGGCAGCCGCAGTCTACGGCAACCGCCGACTAACTTACCTGTTTGTCAATGTCTGATGCAGTCGTCGACTATGGCAGCCACCTTTTCACGCAGTCGCCGTCTAAGGCAACTGCGGTCTAACAATGTCCCTATAGTAGTGCGTTTGGCTACGTTACCAACTGTCCGATGGGGAGACGTCTCCCCCGGACGTCTTTAGGAGACGGTCGGGGGGGAGTTGTCCGGGATTTCGGACAACGACTTTTTTGCCTCCCCTCCCCCCAAAAAAAGTGGGGGGGGTCTGCGCACTGCCAATGGACCCCCCCAAAAAAATTGAGAGCATTCTGAGCAAAAATAAAATAAAATAGAAACAGGTTTTGGGGTGTGTGTGGGGGGGGGGGGGGGGCTGGGGGGCTGGGGGGTTTAAATGGAGGGGCCACTACTGTGGTCATCAACTTCAGCACATGCAACAACGGCTGCTGCTTTGTCTGATGCAGCAGTTGTAGTAGGTGCAACAATTGCTGCATGTACACCATCCGCTGCAGCAGCTGCAGCAATTGCTGCATGTACACCACCCGCTACTACTTCAAAAAGGAGAAGGAGGAGGAGGAGCAGGAGGCGGAGGTTCTGACAAGGAGGAGGAGGTGCCGACGAGGAGGAGGAGGAGGTCCCGAGCAGGAGGAGGAGGTCCCGAGGAGGAGGAGGAGGACAGGGAGGACGACAAGGAGGAGGAGGTCCTGATGGAGGAGGAGGAGGAGGTCCCGACGATGGAGGAGGTGGAGGAGGAGGAGGAGGAGGTCCCGACGAGGAGGAGGAGGTCTCGACGAGGAGGAGGAGGTCCCGACGAGGAGGAGGAGGTCTCGACGAGGAGGAGGTCCCGGCGAGGAGGAGGTCCCGACGAGGAGGACGTCCTGATGGAGGAGGAGGAGGAGGTCCCGAAGATGGAGGAGTAGGAGGAGGAGAAGGAGGAGGAAGAGGAGGAGGGGGAAGAGGAGGAAGAGGATGAGGAGGAGGTACCCCATCGAATTCGACCGATCAATCAATCAATCAATCAATCAATCAATCAATCAATCAATCAATCAATCAATCAATCAATCAATCGATCAATCAATCAATCAATCAATCAATTAATCAATCAATCAATCAATGAATCCCGTTGAATCTATTGATTTGACAGGATCTT